CCTGTCACCTTTTGGCTTGAAAGCACATAATCAGCAAACACGAGCTGCCCTAGCCTCCCAAGCCCGCGGAAACCCAATGAACGGCTGCTAGACTCCTGACCGACGGACAGCCGCATCGCCGTCAAGTCTTGGTGCACTTGGCATAAGTGTACACCTGAATTCCACAGCCCAGGCCAGTGACCATCAAGAATGGTCGATGAGATAAGCTTTGCAGCCATTCAGGTTGATGGACACAAGCAGCACTAGCGCCGCTTGTGTGGCTCTCATGGCTTTCCATTACCAAGGACAAACCACGTCTCCATCATGTTGAACAGAAACAAGACGCCTTTCGATGCTGCGTCCGTCTGGGGAAAATCTGGAGAGCGCAAGGCTTGCTTAGATTTCCGGAGCGCAGGCAATCTGGATCTTGGTGGACATTTTCCCCAGCTTTCGATGCCAGTGTCGGCTCATCTCCGACAGAAAACAGACCACATTGGTCTCGGCGTTGTGGCTCCCCTCCATCTCCATGAGCCATCCCACGTTCTCCCTTGCACCGAATGGAGTAGTGGGCGGCGAATGGGAAGCAGTTTGCAGCCGATATTTTGTGCTTTGTTGCCTCTCTCGCCTGGTACCAAATGGACGGATCAGCTAGATTCGAATCCAAGATGATGACAGGTCCCGACATCCGAAGCACACCTGCCACGGGCTGGTCTAATGCTGTGTCCATGCTCTCTGTCTCTTGCATTGATTCCCATTCCCTTCCGTCTTACCTGCAGAAGCCGTACATGAAAGCAATCGAACACAATGTCAATCAATCCCAACAAACTCACTAGCGTGGGCGTTATCCGATGCACATTCCATTCCCCCAACCATGCCAATCCTACACGGCCACGCGACGAGCGCCATCCGGGTGCCGGTGAGACCAATCATCGACCCGGCGCAACCTAGCCATTCCGGAGCCGGGTGCGGGCGGACCTGGAGAGCGTCAACTTTATTCGAACCGCCACGAGGAGAGTCCAGCTGCATGCGGGTGTGGCAGCGCCAAAGTAGTCCCGTGGACGTTTTCAAGTCCAGCCACGATCATCTTGACGGGTTCTGGCATTTCATGGCGTCTAGCAACAGCTTCTAGGTTTCGTATTACTACTACAGTCCCAAGAATCTGGCCTAATGGCTGAAGAATGGAAGCATCACACGACCAAAGCCATTGCACGCGACAAGAACTATCGAGATTCAACAAAAGTCACCCGGTGGAAAGCTTGGTCTCCAATTGTGGTCTGTATACTTGCGGAGTGCATCTCACGATATCGATTGCCTCCTCCAGCCCCGACTTCACTCACAACGTTGTGTAAGAGTCCAGACTGAACAGCGGTGCTGTGATGATTCCTCGTAATGATCGAGGGCTCAGAAGAGATCGGCATTCCTACGCCGGGCATGCCAGTCGCTCTCACATGTACTTTTCTCAACCGTCCTCTAACGCACGTAATGCAAAGTCCCCTATCTCATATACGATTGTCCATGCCACCTTGTCCTGGTCAAGTAGGTGATACAAACAACTGAGGTTTGCAGCCTCTCGCAGCTTCCCAATTTCCGCGGCCTCGGGCCCCTTGTCCGCTGCACGTTTCCTCTACAGACGCATGCTGAAGCCTCCGAAGGGGGCAAACATACATACCAACCCCTGCCCGCTCGCTTCCTGCGGCTGCCCGACAAAGAAAGAAGAGTGCAAGGCCATCTCCAGGGGTGTCTCGTTGAGATGGACTGAGGCGGACAATGGACAAAGATCGCGGGATGCGACCGTCCGGCCATGATGTCCCGCCCGGACCTTTGTTCCCAACAGGAGCACGTCGCCGCCGCACGTTTCGAGTCCAGATCTGCCTCGAGACACGTGGTGTTTGCTGCGCTGTCCCTTCCCTCCCATTTTGCATGCAACTTCGTCTGAACTACTGCGACCGGCACGCTCTTCCGAGATGGGCCCAAGAGATTTCCAAGAGATATTCCCGCCAATGGGCCCCGGACGTTGGGCTGTTGGTGCGTCTCGCACGGCTTCATCTCTTGCAGTGGCGTGAATTTTGCTTTTTATTCAAGACTGTCTCTCCTGAATTCTCAAAAGGGAAAATGCTCTCTGACACACCATTCAATATGCGATAGATATGAGTTGCCTTTGGTGGTTCGCGTTCCGAACCCTGGTCGCCTTCTGCGCGTAACGGAGGGCGGGCGATGCAGGCACCCAACCGATAGAATCTATTGTATGCTTCCACCCGTCTTCTGTCGCCATTCCAAGTAAACAGTAAGAATTGCATTCAATAACCACTTGCTACATCTTTCAGATGAACCCAGTGTACTTTCGCGACTCCTGCCCAAAACGAAGCTCCGAGGCGCAGGCTAATCTCACCGCCATTGTCCTGCACCGTCTTTCCGACCAACAATATCCCGTCACCTCCCTGAAAGCCTCCTTTCCAGCGTCCGAAATGGAACATAGAGCAGTCCAGAAACAACAAAGGCCAGTTCAAAGCCAATGTCGCCAGTTACCTCGGCGATCGGCCCCGTCCACCACACCTGCGCCATGCAGGGGATGACCAGGGCGAAGCATAGCACGCAGGACCCCAATGCCGCCGCGCCGACCGGCAGCTTCCTCACGTCTTCCCATGCTTCCGTCTCATATCTCTCGCAGTCTGCCTTGCGGAACCAGAAATGCTCGACGAGGATGACGCTGAGGAAGGCGGCGGACCAGTAACCGATGAGCGCGATGAAGTTCTCGAGGCTGGCGAAGAAGTCGGTCGCTGCGCGAATTCCCACAGGTATGATGATTGCCGTGACGAGGAGGGCGAAAACGGACCGAGGCACTTTTTTGAGGGCGGGCGCGAGGAGTTGGAAGTTGAGGGTTATAGAATAGCTCGTCGCTGCGATGTTGCCGAGGAGGGTGAAGGACAGGATTACGGTGACGACTTTTCCAAAGGTTGATGCGGAAGTGAGCATCGCTGAGAGAACGCCGCCAACGAGGTTTTCGTCATATGCTTGTTGCCAAGCAGGTACCAGGGGTATGGAGGAGGCAATGGCGGCGCCTAGTATCATGAGGAGAATCGTGGGGAGGGCGAGGCCGAGGTAAGTGTATACGAAAATCTTCTTCCTGGTCACTGTGTCAGTGACTAAGTTGGCTATGAGGCATTAAGGGACTGACGATGGTGTATATGGCTCGAGATACGTAGTGAAGTCGGACGCAAGACATGCCCAGGGGATCATGTATGAGGCCACGATCATGCCGAACGACATGACGGACTGCGGCGTAGCTGGTTCGGTCGGAGCCTGTTCTTTCAAGTGAGAGCCGCCGCAGCCTATCGCGATTATGATGGCAATGACGGCAGGAATCCAAGCGAACCGTTCATACAAGTGTAGGACGGTGAAGCCGCAAAAAGAGATGACGAGGGCAAGCAGGGCAACGATGACGATCCCTACTGCTGGGCTCACGTTGCCCTCTCCCACAGCTGAAAGACATTGGCCGCCGATGACAGCCATGATCACACAAAACCCTGTGAGCGTTGCTAGATTGAGCAACACGGGGACGGCTACGAGGTGTCGGCTAGAAGGTGTTAGCGTAAAATGAAGGGCGGCGTTCAGGGAGAGATATACCCAAAGCTATAGCGCGCCTGTATCATCTGTCGCATTCCTGTCTTCGGGCCTAGGGTTGACAGGTAGGCCGGTATTGGCGTTGTCAGGAGAGTGAAGAAGACGATAATAAGGGAGGCATCGCGGAGAGAGAGGCCATAGGTCGCGCCTAACATGCCGAAAGTGATACTGGTCTTGCGTTAGGCATTTGCTTTAGGGATGGTATCCATGAATGAGTATCGAGTTTCGAAAAGCGTCGACTTACGGCAAGACATTGGCGTTCATGCACCACCAGAGGGTGAAAATGTTGACCGTCCTGGTAACGGTTCGCTCTTCAATTGGAATAGGGGCGATTCCTCGAACCTCAACGTGACCTAGGGACATCAATTTCTTAGCCCATACCCGCCAGCCGCGAGCCTCCTCGGACTGCGCCTCGTGGATGGAGCTGGCGGTCTCAACATCGTGCTTTACATCGCTTCCGTCATCTTGCTTCTCTGAGCCTGTCGGCATGTTGTCTCGGGTGCTCGCCATACTGGGTGCCTCTTGGTAACAGCTTGAGGCAACTGCTCACGGAGTCTTCACAAGAACATGCTATGACCAACGAGGTGGATCCATCCGGCTTCTAGTATTCATTTAACACATTGGAAGTGCCATGTAGTTCGTGCCATTGATGTGAAGGACAGGTCTTCTTGGCAATGACCGCCTTACTACCTGTACCGCTATTCCCTGGAAACTGATATCTCTATCCAGGCTTAGCCACTTCGACCTTGAGATCCTCTGGTGTCTCATTACCGCACGTGGATCGATTGAAACATGCCCGTCTCTGACGATAGCAATCAGGCAAAGCAAATTGCCGGATGCCAAGCACATCCATCAGATAACCCCGTCCCCATCACGATAGCCCGCATCTCCATATCGCGATCCCTGCCCATGTATGAGCCTCCAGCGACATCATCGCGGCCGATCAGGGCCCAGACAGAACGACCCCACCGCCCCCAGAGAGCCTCTGCTTATCACCCGCCACCTCATTGGCAATCCCCTCGTGCCAAGTTTGGCTCGCCCTTGTCCTTAGCGCAACCGGACTTACTCTGCACCGCTAATATCCGGATCGCCTATGAAACGGGCCTCGGAAGCCGTTGCCGGAGACCCGCCCTCGCCCATTGCGAACCGGCACCGAGTGGTTTGGCCGAGTTGCTGGGCGTGGGTCTGCAGGGGGTTCCACCAATTTTTATCCTCGGGCAAGTTTTTCGTTGGCCGACGGACGTTGTCCGGTTAGCAATCGCTCTCTTTCTGCCCAAGGCAATTGCCCAAAACTTCATCTCCTTATCATCTCTACTATTCGAGAGATTTGGGGTAATTGAGGAGGCTCATTTGAGTTGTTGTGAGCTTCCCCAGACTCGAGGACACCCGGCGGCCCTGTAATGGCCGAACCTAAAGACGCCAAGAACGAGTCCGGGACCGGCCCCGTGCCGGAGCCCCTCAGGATCCCGCTCGGGGATGCTGGGGTGGCAGAGCCGTACAGCATTTTCACTCGGAAGGAGAAATGGTTCATCGTCGGGATGGTTGCTGTTGCCGGGTTCTACAGGTACGTTGCCAGACTCTGGGGAGGCGAGTGGTCGCATGACTGACGCGTGTAGCCCTCTACCTGCCAATATCTATCTTCCTGCGATACCCAAGCTGTCTGAAGCATTCGGTAAATCTGTCGAGCTGCTTAACTTGACTGTTACTGCCTTCCTTGCGATGCAGGGCATATGTGAGTGCCCCATTGCGCGGGCAGTCATTTCGCAGCGCTAATTAGCTCTAAATCAGCTCCGATGCTTTGGGGTCCCCTTTCTGATCGCTATGGACGTCGACCAGTGTTTTTGGTCTGCTTGACAGTCCTCATCGGAGCATGTGTTGGAATTGCTGTCTGCCCTACAGACGCGTTCTGGCTCCTGATCGTCCTTCGCTGCCTGCAAGCGGCGGGTTGTGCTAGTACTATCGCATTGGGTAAGTGCTCGCCTGCTCACTTAGATGTTGATCAAGTGGATTAATGTGTAACAGGCGCGGGTGTGATCGGTGACATATCGACACCGGAAGAGAGAGGAGGCTTCTTTGGCATGTTCAACCTTGGGCCCATGGTAGGTGCTATGTGCTCGGCCTCTCTCAAACCCTTTCAATGTATGCTAATCGGAGTTAGATTTCCCCCTGCATCGCTCCCGCAATTGGTGGTGCCCTGTCTGACAAGCTTGGATGGCGATCAATCTTTTGGTTTTTGATTGTGATGGCGGTTTGCTGCCTTCTCTTCATCTTACTGTAAGACGCCACGATTCCATTCTGATGGCCCCCACTCTCTAACCTAATTCCCTGAATCTTAGCTTCCTCCCGGAGACTCTTCGTAACCTCGTCGGCAACGGTAGTGTTACCCTGGGGGGTGTATACACGCCACTTGTTCCTGTAGTAGGCCGCTCCCGCAAGAAGCAAAGGACAACGCCCTCGAAGCCTGGAGTTCGCCCCTCCATCAACCCCTTTGTCATCCTCGTCTACCCCGACGTTGCCATCACGCTGGCCTTCACTGGCGTTGTGTACGCTGTTAATAACACCGTCGTGACTACTGTTGCCTCGTCCTTCGCTAGGGTCTACCCATGGCTATCTGAGACAGCGCTTGGCCTGTGCTACCTTCCCACAGGCTTCGGAATGATTGTTGGGAGTACCTTAACCGGCAAATTCCTCGACTGGGACTACGCCCGGATCAAGAAGCGTGTGGAGGAGTCTGATGGGGTACTCGAGTTTCCCAAGGAGTACGCCCGATTGAGGACTATGCCTGTACTCCTTGTGCTCTTCTCGGGGGCGGTGATTGCCTGGGGCTTCTGCGTAGATAAAGGCGTACACATCGCCGTCCCACTCTCTTTGCAGGTCGTTTGTGAGTAGTCTAGCACCCTGGGTCTCTGTCTTTCTCGCTGACCTTATATAGTGGGATACACCTCCATCTCAATCCTCAACACCACCATGACACTGATGATTGACATCCTGCAGACCAGGAGCTCAGCAGCAACCGCTTGTGTGAGTAGACGCTTTCAAATGAACATCTTAATTGTTTGCTGACTACTGTCATAGACCAACCTTGTGCGATGCCTACTGGCCGCTTTGCTTGTGGGTCTTATTGATAGAATGACTGCTGCCCTTCGCGTGAGCTGGAGCTACGTCCTTCTAGGCGGTGCATGCGCCTTAATGCTACCTCTCATGTATATCGAGATGAAGTTTGGTCCAAAGTGGAGGCTGACCCGTGACTTGAAGTCGATCGAGGATTAGAGGTGTGATAGATATAGACATAGAGCCGCCATCACCACCCGAATACTAATGAAATTGAATACTATTCCCCTAACCACCCTGTCTCTAAATGCTCTATTGCTTCAGCCTCCGTCACCACGTCGGCGTACTTAGAATCCAAGTCGAAGAGGTTAGCCTTTTGGATTTCCTCGCTGCGGTCGCCGCATGCGGACCCCACCACCTATATACGACTTATTAGTCTAAACCTCCTTCTGAGTATTGATCTCACTCACCATCGGTCGGAACCCATTCTGCATGGCATCTAACGTAGTCGCCCTCACACATCCACTAGTGCTTACCCCGCATACGACTACCGTATCGATATTCCGACACCTCAATTCGGTTGCAAGCGTCGTTCCAAAAAAGCCACTCGCATACTTCTTCTTGATCACCACGTCCCCCTTAGTCGGCGTCAGGTCCTCGTTCACCCAGTCCGCCAATCCCTTTGAGTGAAGCTCGCTTCCAATCTGCCACACAGCCAACGTCTTTGCCTTGAGCCAGAAGAGCCCTGCGTCGGCCATGTTGGGGTCGTTGTACTCCACTGCTGTCCACAGTACCGGCACGCCACCTTTCCTGGCCGCAGCGACGAGACGTGCTGCGCTGGCGGGGACCTCCACTGCCGCGGGGTTGCCAGAGAGGTCGAGGGGCGAGCCAGGGGTCCAATATGCTTTGCAAATATCGATGAGGAGGAGCGCAGGGCGGGTGCCCCAGCCCATGCGGTTACCGTACCCAGAGGCGGCATATGAGGCAGCGTCCGGGTGGTCTTCTGTTGCCGCCATGCTATCGGTGTATAGTATGGGTAGAATGCACGGGAACTGAGTCGGCGAATATGAGCTCAAGGCAGCCTTCGACGCTGAGGTGACGTTGATATGTTCTCGTGAGGGGTTCCTCTTCATGGCCCGCATTGGCACTACAATTGCCGGAAACGGGCAAAGTGGCCGCCCGCCCCCGACATAGTTGTCGGCACAATGCCCCACATTGCCGGCAATAGGTGCCGGTACCACAGGCAGGCTTCCTACACAAAGCTTCAATCGAACTGGCCAACTGATGTACCGAGGCCCTCAAGCAGGTCATAGTGTAAGTCTCCGTTCAGAAAGGCCGCAAGCTCAGCTTCGAATTGGTCGGCTGGACCGTCCGCGATAGTGTTACACGCCGCATCCAGTCCGCTATTATCCTGCCTCGCAGACACTCCCGCTCCACCGGGATCTTTTCCCGCAACCGGAGATACTGTATTAGATAGAGGGCTCGCAATCTGCTGGAGGCCCCTTTGCCATCTAGCGCTGGTGGGCCATGCCTCATGCAGCTCGCCAAGGACTTTCAGGGAACCCATCGCCATGCCCTCGGCCTCAGAAGTGGCAATGTGCGGGCAAAGCTGGGGATGGCGCCAGAGATACGAGGCCAAGGATCCGCATATGTAGACGCAGAAGACTAGAATGGCGGGGAACCCTTCGTCTCTGGATCTCACGCTGAAGTAGGCCTCCACCTGTTCGTGTAACTCTACTACATTGGCGAAGAGCTCGTGAGACATGTTCTTCCAGAATTCGCTTGGCGCTTGTCCCTCTTCGGACAAAGCATCTTGGGTTGTTGAGGACAGCGCCCTGATGATTTGATCGATGTAGATGCGGCGGATAACAATGTTGCTCAACCGCAGCACCATAACCACGGATAGGTAGGCAAGGTGCAAGGACTCTGCTTTCCACCCTCGCAGATTCCATATACTCCATTTGTGCCTAGGAGGCATCTCTTCCTCCCAACTCCGAAGCGAAGCTATCATCACCGAGTGACTACCGCCGTCGTCCGAACCGAGCCCTGGGCGACCAGCTCGACGAGCTACTTGGCCCCAAAGATTATGTGCTTGGATAAGAGTCGCGAAGAGGCACCGGCTAGTACCTGTTTCTAACGCAGGGTTTGCCAGCGCAGGTGGCGTACCAGGCAAAGCAGACCTTGTGGCAGGTACTACCCCAAAAGCAAAGTCGCTCTCGTCACAGGGCAGGTATGCTGTAATGTCGTCCAAGGAGAAGGGCGCCGGCGTGCTATATCCAGAGTGTAGGTTCTCCTGGCTCTGTATCATCCAGAAGGTCCGTCTGGCTGACTCCGCTCGGACGAGCTGCTCGGCGTCGGCGTCTGGTAGTAGCGTATAGGTTTCCTCCCGGTGCAGCTTCAGTAGGGTGGCCATACGAACAGCAACTCCCATGTCCATAGAGCTTCTATCACGGTCTCCATTGCCCCATTCCGCGATGGCAAGCAGGAAGAAGGCTTGGGTGTTGTCGAGAGAGGGGCGATACATCTCTTGTGGCGCCAGCGCTCGCGCTGCTTTGAGAAAGTGGTCTGTTGCCGTGGTAGCAGAGCCATAGCGATGTACTAAAGACGGTGTAAAGCGCGAAGATATTGACAGAATGCAGCAAAGGAGGAAGCGACTCGTGGATGCAGGGTTGCGGACAAGGTTCTCCTGGAACATGGCTTTTGGTATGAAGCCCAGCTGGAAGTAGGACGTCACGAAGGTTCTGCAGCCTTCGATTACTTCATTGTCAGGTGGAAGGGGCGGGTTGCTTGATGATAGGAACCCCGAGAGTGAAGGAGGCGAGGCGTTTGGGCAGCTAGTGTCAGCTGGGGTTTTTGGTAGTGGAAACGAGGCCAAGTCTCCTGCAACGGCCTCACCAATGTGGGACTCCTCTTGGGCTACCCAATCGTCGTCTTGAGCGGTTGATGCCGCGCAAATGATGGCAAGATCCTCAACACCTCCTTCACCCATATCGTCGTGAGCAAAGTGGGTCGGCATTGGCACACGGCGTCGAAACTCCCGGTCTGTGTCTCTTTCTCCTCGGCGAGGAAAAGTACAGGCTCGCGCCGCTTGTGTGCCAGCCAGCAGACATGCCTCGCACGGAGGCTGTCGGTTTTGCTTGACGCATTTCGACCGGAGCCGTCGGCACCGCCGGCAGGCAGTGCCTCCGCGCCGTTTCACCGGCTTCGTTGCCGCATCGGCCGAATGTGGGGCTCCGGACTCGGTGGGGTCTCGGGTGGTGGCCGGCGGGCTCTCTTCAGTGTTTGAAGACATAACTGAGCTCCACTGCAGCCGGTCAATGGTCAAAGGCAGTCTAAGGGGCAGATTTCCATTGAGTTTGCCGCAAAAAAGGCAGTTAAACTGGGACAGGAGACAAATAAGCCAGCAGAGGGTCGGCCTTGAGGGGCTGATAACAGTGGGCACTATCTTGAAAGATTCGTCTAGGGAGATTGGCGAGCTGATAGGCATGAAAACCTCAGCCACGCCCCCTCGGTCTTATCTGTGTTGGGTCTTATGCATTGCCGGCTGTTGCCCCGGGTTCTTTTCCGCCTCTACAAACTTCACCCAGTGTATTTTCGCCGCCTAGATATCCTAGAGCCTCATAAATCTAACTGTTCATTCTGCGTGATGTCATTGATCGTATCTCTGTTCTGTAGTCGCAAAACTGCCCAAGAATGTCTCTCAACTGCTGTACCCATTGACAATGCCATGAACGCCATTCCCATTGACGGCCCCATTCACTTTCCCGTTGACGCTTTTTCTTCCCAGATTTGGCAGCCCAGCCTTGGCCAAAATCTCTTCCACCTCGTCTAGATGCTCAAGGAAGTGAGCCTTGGCCCCATCCCACTGGTCTTCAGCGGACAGGTGCAAGCCCCTTGAGCCCTCGCCCTCAATTGCCCACTGGGTCAGCATGACCGGCACACTGATGTGAAACATGAAAGCCACCGTCCCTTCGCATATCCTATCTGGCTTCAACTCCTTTGTCGTCGCGTTCTGCCATGTCTCATACGTCTCACCGTGCGGCATGTAGCTCGCCTCATAGCTCAGGCCTCCCGGCTCGAGGACGTGACTGCTCCCGCCGTACGTGCCATACAGCAACCCCATCATCTCTGTGGACATGTTCCGATGGTAGTACGGCGGCCGAAAGGTATTCGACGTGGGGATCCACTTGGGCGTAAAGACAAGAAAGTCCGTCAGTGAAACCCCCGGAACCTTGGACTTGGCAGTGAGCACACAGTACACCGTCGGATCGGCCTGATCGTGATTGACGTTTGCCACATTGATGAACTTCTCCGTCGCGTACTTGTACGGCACCAGGTTTCCTCGCCAGGCCACAACGTCGAAGGGGGTGTGACCCTGCCGGCAGGCGTGCAACGATCCCGCCAGCTTGTACACGATCTCCCAGTTGGACGAATCCACGTCAAAGGACGCGACGGGATAATCAAAATCCTGGGGAAGCGCCATGCCGTTTGAGCCGATGGGGCCGAGCTCCGGGAGCTCGTAGTGTGTACCGAAGATCTCCTGGATGTAACCGCGACTCGGGCCGTCGGGGAGGAGGACCCGGAAGCGGAGCCCGGCTTGGATCACCACTAGCTCCCCGGGCCGAACCATGAGCCAGCCTAGCTCGGTTTGGATGTTGAGCCTCCCCTTCTGCGGGAGGATGAGAAAGTCACCATCGTTGTTACAGAACGCCCTGTTGCTCATGGACGTTGACGCGGTGTAGACGTGCACGGCGATCCCCTCCCTCAACGTTGGGTCACCTTGTCCACCCACTGTTCGGATACCTTCGACAAAGTCACGTCCATTTCGGCTTGACTCGTCTTCCCCTGGTAACTGGAATGGGTCCCATGCCTGTTGTCCCGCCACGTATTTCACCTTGTCATTCAGAGGCGAGAAGCAGGCTTGCAGCAGGGGGTTGAGCTCTGGCGAGGGCACGACCTCTCGGTGAGCGACCGACGGCCATATGCGGTACATCCACACATGCTGTAGCGTTGCACGCGAGCTGATGAACGATGAACCGTTCAATTGCTCCGAGTACAGATCGAATCTGCATTTTTGAGGCGCATTCTGCCCGGGAGGCAGCGTTCCGGGCACCGCCTCTGAGCAGAACCGATTTCCGAACCCGGTTTGGTACCGGTGAGGATCCGAGTCAGTCGGCTCCGTGGAGAACGCCGAGGCGGCAGTGGCCCCGACCATGGCGCAATTGCTATTTTTTTGTGCGCTGGTGCGTGAGGGGTAGGGTATAAAGGAATCCACGCGGCTGATTGTGACTCGATGATGTAATGTGTTCAGCTGCAGGTCGCTGACTAGACGTCGTTGCTTGAGTCGTCTTTATGCCCGGCGGTCGTTGGGAGGTATTGAAGGAGACGTTGAAATGGAGACGGAGGCGAGAGCTGGTGGGATTTTACGAAAGACGATGGGAAGGAATGTGTTTCAGGAAGCTCAATATTAGACTCTGAAGAACAGGTCATGATAAAAGCTTGGGTGAGCTCAAGGGCGAGAAATAGAGCGGCCCGGGCCAGAGGTCTGAGCTGCATTCCGCCATTGCAGTGTAAGACATTCTGCGTTCCTTGTCTCATCCTTTTCCGGCAATCACTGAAGCTTATCGGGTGTAGGCTTAGAAATTGCCGGCAACCGGCAAAGCGCGGGCAAATAATCCGGCAAGCTCTTTGTCCTTGACTTTCCCCTCTCATCCTTCGTCTCGAGGTTACCGTAGCCCACTAACCCCGAGACGAATGACGGCATTCAGTCAGCGCGATGCTCGCTAGAGCTTCTGCTGATAAACTAATACCAGCGTCTCTTCATTTACATGCTGAGCGGCCCTCATCATGTCTTCTCCGGACTTTGGGCCCAGGGTATATCGCCAAGAGCCTGGATCCGAAGATCTCTTCTCCTCGGAGGCAGAATTTCTATCCTTGACAGCTCCAGGACCCTCACGCCGGCTACAACTTCTGAGACACATGTCTATGATAACCTCCGAACCCCTCCCTTGACATATTTGCCACACGCAATGGCTCTGATCCAACTCGTCACCGTGCACAGCACGCGCCTCTTTGCGATCCTCCTCATCGCGGCTGCGGCTCTAGCTCTGCATAAGCTTATTACCCGGCGCGGCTCCGCAAAACGCCGGAACCTCCGGCTACCACCGGGCCCACCCGGCGAACCGATCCTAGGCCACCTCCGCGTCATACCGACCGACAATCCGGAGTATGCTTACGCCGCTTGGTCGAAGGAGTACAACTCTGATGTGTTGTACTTCAACGTGCTGGGACAGGATGTTGTTGTGCTCAACTCGGTCAAGGCAGCTGTCGACCTGCTCGACAAGCGCGGCGCGAACTACTGTGACCGCCCCCGCTTTGTGTTATTCGAGGAGATGGGATGGAAGAAAACGTTAACATTCCTGCGATGGGGCCCCGAGTTCCGCATGCACAGGAAGATTCTTCAAAGGAGCTTTCAAAAATCAAATATTCAGGTTTACCAAGACTTGCAGGAGAGAGAGGCCAAAACCCTGGTTGAGGGAATCCTGAAGCAACCCGAGGCTTGGGAAACGGCGTTGAGGAGGTTCGCCACTGCCATTGTCATGAACATTGGTTTTGGGGTCGAGGTTACAAGCGACAATGACCCATACATTCAAATGGCCATCGATGCATCCTACGCTCTCGGCCACGGAGGGGCGCCAGCTGGCACTTTGGTTGATTTCTTTCCATTCATAAAGCACCTCCCAGACTGGCTTATCAGAGATCGCTCTCTCAAGTTTGCCCGGGACTGGAGGTGGGCCATCCGGCGGATTCACGACGCACCATATGCCGCTGTCACAGCACAAAAGTCCCCCGAGCACAGTCTGATCAAGATATTGCTCGACCAGAGAGAGACACAGTTGAAAAGCGGTTTCTCAGATCTATCAGAGGACGACATCAAAGGCGCTGCAGGAGCTGTTTATGCTGCAGGGCAGGATACGACTTGGTCCACTCTAGTGGTGTTCGTACTCAACATGGTTCTCCACCCTGAAATCCAGGAGAAGGCCCAAAGAATTGTTGACGAAGTCGTTGGAGAGGACAGACTGCCGACGTTTGAAGATCGGCCAAAACTGCCATATATCGACTACATCGTCCAAGAGACATTACGGTGGTGCCCTGTATCACCAATCGGGGTGCCGCACCGATCGTTACAAGATGATGTTTACGAGGGAATGTTCATTCCCAAGGGATCGCTGGTTTATGCTAATGCACGTGCAATGACTCACGATGAACACACATACTCTGATCCTGAATCGTTCAATCCTGATCGGTATATCCCTGTCGAGGAGGGGGGCCTTGGTGAGCCCTTTCCTACGGGACAGTTTGGTTTCGGTCGAAGGATATGCGTTGGGAAGCACCTGGCGGAAGCCAGTGTGTGGATCGTGGTTGCATCTATGCTGGCAACAATGAGTATCAAGCAAGCAACCGGTCCTGGCGGAAGAAAGATCGTCCCTCGAGTTGAGTTAACCAATGGGCTAACTAGCCACCCGAAACAGTTCGAGTGCCAGATTGTCCCAAGGAATAGAAGCAAAACATCTTCATAGGTTGATACCGAGTCACTGGGACTAAAATAAACGTCGAAATGAGTTCAATGCGGCTCACTTCTATTTCATCATGTGCTTTCTTCTCAATACGAATATAGCCCGCAACCGAAGCGGGTAGCTCTCTTCCTTTATTTACGGCCTCCATATTGTGAAACCCCCTACTGGGTGGGCTCGAAACTTCCTCGACATTTACGGGCTCCATACGGCACCTGTTGAGCTCTGCGATGACCCTTCGCTGCCATTCGTGACATGGCTATCCACGACGAAATTCGTCACCGCCTTCCTCGTGTCATCCTGGGGCGTTATCAATAACAATCTGACTCTTGCGCCATAAAAGTACGGAAGCTCATCTCCCCAAAACTGGGCGCGCAACATCCCCTTCACAAAACCTCCCATTCGATCAAAAGCCACGTCGCCGTTCTGTTTTATTTCGCGCATAAAATCCTCCTTCATTGCTTCTGACTCCTCAGATGGAGCTGCCGAAGCCTGGTCTGTTGCAACATGGAGTCGGCAAATCCAACCACTCAAGCTTTGGCCCATTTTTGCCGTTACGAATCCGAGATAAAGAGATATTCGCACTTCTTTTTGGTTTTCGTCCAAGTTCGTAAGGATATTTGGGATGTAAATATCGTTAATATTGACGGCTCCGTCTTTATTTACCATGTCCAGCCATATAATTCTGTCGTGGGAGTCGGTTGCCAGCTGATGAAATCGAGCCCATGCAGACTGTAGCTTGGTTGACCCAAATACTGGTAATATACCATATCTTCCAGCCCAGGGTGAGTCTGTCAAAGTCGACGTTTCCACCTTCACCCAGGCCGGAATTGGCAATGGCCTTTCCCTGGGTTTATGCCGGACAACGAGCGATTTTCGTTTTGAAGATCTCAAAGGTTCAAATAGTCCACGTCGAATCATGAGCGGATTAGGTGGAAACGGCTGCCTTGAAACGTATAGAGTTTGCCCATTATCGTGGCCGGAGACCTGGATCCATGCCTGCGCTCCCTCGCTGTTTTCGACATCCAAGGCGACAATGTAGCCTGCCATACCTGTGTATAGCATAGGGAGTTTTATCGACAGGCCTGCGTTCGTCATATGATACGTAGAAAGGCCTCCGGTTTCGTCGAGATTTGAATCTCTCCGTCGAAACCTGTGGGAGTTTCTGAAGGCCAAAGGCGAAGGCGCGAGGAAACTGGACCAATGCGCTGGTATGATTGGGTAGATCCATTCCCAGCAAAAGATGGTGTGGTCGTTATCCGACTTAATAATCTCTTCCTGGAGTCTTGTGAATGCCTTCATGCCCTCTCCGTATAGCAAAGGCATACTGATGTCGAAGAGGCCCAGCATGCAATAGGCAAGATCTTCCTCGCGAGTGACTTCCCGTTTCGAGAGCCAGGACATCTTCGTTGACGCGCCGGCAGATGAAGGCGACATGGTACTATCGTTGATGAGATAACCACGGTCGATGCCAGTGGCATGGTGTATTTCATCAGACAGTGACGTTTCTCGGCTTCCGATGCTGGTCCAGTCGTATGCATAGAACACAACGCTGGTTGGGGCTAAGAGTTCCTGTAGGGTCCATCCTCGAGTGAACCAGCGACTTTCTCTGAACCGCTCCATCAAAGCATCCCTGTCGCTTTCGGTATTTGTCGTGCCCGTGGGAACATCCACCAAATATGCATAGCATATGTGGGACTGGGCGTACCACCGGTACATGGAGTTGATAGCCTCAGATAACTCTGCTGAGCTCGTCTTGTCAATGCAGTTCGTGTCAACCCACAGCCATTCAAGTCCATCGGCCTTCGCCTGCTGACAGGCTCCGTAGATCTTCGAATAGCCGGCTTTTCTGGATGCCTCTTGTAGGTCTTGCCATTCCTGAAACGACACCTCTGCATCTCCCCAAGTATGGGACAGTATGGCGTATGGTGGTATATCCGACCCTGAGAACTCCTGGAGCTTGAACGAATTTACGTCGATGAGGCGCATTGTGATTAATGAGGCTTGCCGTAAGTCGCCGGTCTCGCATCTGGAAAAGGCAAACGACCTCGTGGCCCGGCCGGGATATTGTGTAAAGAAATAAGAGCTTTTCGTAGCCCCAGACGCGAACCTTCTGAGCTTTAATGCTGAGGGTGAGAATCAGGCGTCGTTGGGTAGGTAAAAATCAGTGGAACCACGGTTTTTCCTTGTCGCCGATCCCGAGGCGGGCTTCATTGGGGCCACGCATATGCAAGTGGGCGGGACGTCTTCTTAGGTTAGGAACCCTCCGGCCAATCAAACATTCTTGGCTTTTACGCAATATTTTCTTCAGCGGTCATAAACGTCATGGGAAGGGCAAACTGTGGGGGTATCCTGCTGAAATTCAGACGCATTTTATCTTGTGTTCGCTTCAACAACATCCCTCCATCTGCCTTTACCTGACATTGGGTATTTATGGGCTTATGTCTACTGTTTCACACATCTCCCGTATTGGCGTCTTTGGGTGGAAAATCATGCCGGGGCTTCTCTCTCGTATCTGATCCGAGCCTAGCTTGACGCCCTTATTGTGCCGCCGCAGGATGACTCCCCAGATAAACTGGCGCGTGTTCGGTATGCACGCTACAAACACCGCAACGTAGACCTCGATGTCGGTCCACATGGCGGCTGGCATGATGAACGCTGAAGAAGCCATGTTAGAACCTGTCGTAAGAACTCTAGTGTCGATGAGGGCTCACCAGTTGGGTTGAGCGGGTACTTAGCCAGCTCTTTGATCGTCAATATCCGAATGATGCTTACTACCGTGAGGCTTTGAGCTGTTAGCAGCTACTCACGACCCAGGGCCAGGGAAAGCTTACAAAAGTCCTAGGCTGAACATGGACATCACGGCAATCTTCTTGCGCCGCTTCATATTCAGCCCCCAAATTTGCGTGGCCGGCAGGCCGAGCATCCACAGGTCTAGGGCAACGTTTATGGTGCCCTGCCCCATGCCAGTGTGCTCTATGCTGATGCAATGCCCCTCCGTTTCTCCCGTCCAGAAGGTCCAAGCCAAGTTGATGGGTTGGCACTGAAAGAGGGTGATGAGCAGGTAAATGATACCGACGGAAAAGTTGAAGGCGTGCGTGCCCCAAACGACGCGTCGAAACTTTTCGTCGGGGAAAATTCTGAGGTACATGAAGAGAATCGAGGCTTTCGCTAGGGTGATCGTGCAGTGATAGAGGACCTGCAAAATGTAAAAGTTCTGTGCGAGTGTTAAAAGAATTCCTCCTACGAAAGGGGGTGTCTCAGACTAGAGCTTTTGGAGGTTCACATACCAAGAAAAAGTGCGTAATCTCATACGGAGTGAGACTCCAGAGATCTCTTCCAGCTCCAAACTTGCCCCCTGTATACACGCATTAGCGAAGCTCTGTGTCCAGTTGGCGTTTAGTCTCTGCTCTCATCACTCACATAGCATGTCTGCAGAGAATAGCCCAAGCAATACGCACTGAACCTTTAGTCAGCTGAACCGTCTGCCACATAATCCCTTGAGGGCTCATTTATACGTCGCGATATGGGGCAAGCTCACGTATGCCAGCACGATAGTGGTGTCGTCCGCCCCCCATGTAGCCAGTCGGGCGATCTTAACGGACACACGAAGTATGACGGCCAGCGTGGGAAGCAAGGCGAACAAAATAATACGGGGCACTACCGTTGCGCCGAATTCGTCGTGTAGCGAGAAGTCACATGCGTCCTGGGTAATCTTTTGCGTCACTGCGTAAAGAGGTGAGAGAGTCAGCCGGTGACTATCCAAGGAATACGAATCCTGACATTCTTACCCAGGGCTTCCTTCACGGAGCAGCTTGCGGCAGCACAGCTCTCGACAAAATGGAGGAAGTCGGCGTCTTGACACAGACATGCCTGGTCGGTTGTGCTGCAATCTGAATTGGTGAGGCCTTCTATCAGGCATGGTAACTGGGGGTATACGTCTCAGCATGATCCCGAAAGTGAACGACCGCCGTACCATGGGTGTCTTACTGTGCAGTTTGGGTTATCATAGAGACGATCGATCTGTGCGAAGGTCGCCAAGGCGAGTGATAGAACGAGAAGCAGCAGCCGAATCGTGTACATGGCTGCGGCTCAAGAGTGAGGGAAACCTCACGCGTCAGACGGCAGGTTCCTCACTGCCGGTCGACGTGGAAATTCGGCAGTCGTGACACTTTGAACGTGGTTGTTTTTGACGAAAAGCAACGCGGGTTTGTCGTTGCATGAAGATGGAAGTTTGTAAAACGTGATGTTGACTGCCGATAAATCCTATCTAGGACCAATTTCAAGCAAGACACGGAACCCCCACACGTGCTGCCCCGCCAGCCCGCTATCGGCATTCCTAGAGCCTCTTCGCATGTGGCGGGCTTCTCTCAAAAGGCCCCCTTGTCGCGTGGCTTGCGCCCTTCAGCCAGACAGAGCTTCTACTTCGTCCTTCGTGTGGCGCTGAGTAAGTGGTAGCGGCAGGCGTCGGGGCTGCCAGGGGACGTCACCGGATGGAGACTAGCCCAGCCGAGCGAGGCAAGAGCTTTACACTAAATGCGGCGTCTACATACCCAAAGAGGAAAATGCCACAGTTAACCCCAGGATGTTTCCGGGGATGCATCTTCGGCATCTTGATCGAGACCTCAAAGGAAGCGCCATTGTCGGCGGAAAGGGCTGAAAGAGCATCACGCCTCTTTGCAGGTTTCGCCGGTCTCCTCACCGAATCGCCGACCCCGGCTGGGCAGCCATGGGGATTAGACCAAAGCTTCATGCCGGGCGGTGTCGTTGAGAGTGTACCGTTCAACCGTCGATGCGCACGCCGACTCCGCGGGCTGAACCCGTGCGCGCTCCAGATCTTACTCGCCGCAGCCCTCCTACGATATCATAGGGCAAAGCCCTAGCACCATTTGTATAGAACCCTTTTACTGGGCGGATGATGTTACTGTTAATAGAACCACGATAGAGTCACACTTCCCATGATCGCGTCCTTGAGATTGCTGTTCCCTATTCAAAATCGTCAAGCTTGGGGGGCCGCACGACGGCCCCGACGTTAAGTGGATCCTCCGAGGAAATCGCCGATCGGCGCCGGGAACGAGTGGGTCTCGGTGCCACGATCCACTCCGCCTTGGCACGTCCCGGAGATCTGGAAAGCGTCCCGCTCCAGGCCTTGTTTATCCCGCCTGCACACCCACCGATCGGCGCCTAATCAATCTCACATCTATGTTTCCCTGCTTTTTGCCTGCCATCTACCTTACTACCCTGCATCACTTCCCCAGCCCCCAGTGTTTCTTCCAATGAGCTGTAAGGTTGGTGGTCCACGCTCGATTCTTGTTTTCTCTCCGCAGATTCGCATTCTACTTTGCCATCTCACCTTTCCCAACCCAAGGAGCTTTTACGACGCTGAAACCTCGCCCGTCACCCTCCGCATCCGCATGACAGCCGCGCGCCATGGATCGAAGCTTAGCCGTTCTCTCGGAACACCGCGCTCAGTGCATTTCAGCCGTGCTCTTCGGCTTGGAGGTTCCTCACCCTCGGGCCCAAGCGTGTCTTCCATGCACATGGAAAAATGCGCAGCATTTCCGACTTAATGGATCCAAACAGAGAGAAAAGCTTACGGTAAAGTCAACTTCGCCAAGAACAAGCGCTCGGAAATCTTAAAATATTGCTGATCAATGTTTGCCCCCTTCTTTGGGGAGCTTCCTGTTATTCATTGGGAGTATCTGATTATTAAGCTCGGGCTGTGTTTCTTCATTCGCTTCCCCAAAGCCCCAAAGCTTCCTTCTAGCCAAGGCTCAAAATTCATCCCAAGTATCCAAAAGACGGCGACATGCTCATGTCAGTCCCAATCAGGCCCAAAGTCTCTCAAGCTCCCAAGGCTCGGAACTCCCCGAAATTCTTGGCTCCTCGCCCCAATTATGCGAGGACACCTGAACATACGCAATGTTGCCACCTTGATATGCCTGTTCTCCGATACAGCAAACGCATAATATTCCCCAAAAGCAAGGCGTGATAAAATTCTATTCGCTGTGGATATTACAACCCCCGTTTCATGCGCCCGCTAAGCCAAAAGTCCGCTTTCGTGAATATCTTATGCAGCATCCTCCACCGCGGCGAATCGCTCCTCGGCCATGGAAGCCTCGGGGTCGGTCCAGTTGACGGGCTTGTGGATGCGCAGAAGGCGCAGGAAGTAGTCCTCGATGACCAGCAGGTTGAGGAGGACGCCGTTGCAGTTCCACGCGATGCCGCAGACGATGGCGCCGGCGACGGCGTCAAGGACGAAGTGGTTCGCGGTCGCGACGATAGCGGTGAGGATGAGGGCAGGGTAGGACATGCCGGCAGCGACGATGGCGAAGCGCTTCCAGGGGCGCGAGCGGATCGAGGGGAGCGGGAGGGTGGCAACGGTCAGGCCGATGAGGAGGGAGTAGCCAAAGTGCAGCGAGGGCATGGCAGCTGTAATCATGTCAGTAACCCGTGAAAGAACAGGACATATCGTGTGTTCGACTTACCATATTGGTTGCAGAACTTGTTAGTGGTCCAGACACTGCTCTCGCCGTCGGCGCTATGCACCGTGTCCACGAACCCGAAGCTCTTGGCCTCGCCGGCATCGGGGCCGTTGTAGGTGGGGTCGCTCAGCAGGCGAGGCGGCATGCAGGGCCACAGGGTGAAGACGACGAAGGCGAGCAGGTTGCAGGTGGCCATGGTGCGACGGCGGGCCTCGTACAGCGCAGGGCCGGCCGAATTCCACCTGACATTCTCGTTGCCGCCAAGCTTGGTGGAGATGGCGCGGCGTCTGCGGGTGGTCGTGACGAAGTACAGGATGACGAGGAAGAGGATGGTGCCGGGGATGTGGATGAAGGAGTAGATGCGGTTGATCCAGTGCATGACGGTGGGCAGCTGGAGGAAGTACTGCTGGACGGGCACCTCGATGAAGACGTGCAGGCGCTGCTCGAGGTGAATGAGCTGCAGGGCGTGCTTGCGGGCGACGTCGACGGTGCCCTCGTTGAGGGTCAGAGCCGTGAAGGCCCGGCCGACTTGGTAGACCTAGTATCAAACAATGTTAGGTGAGGCTGAAGACTGCCAACAGAAGAAGGCCTTGCTTACCCAGTAGATCAGGGCCCAGTACCATGCCTCCACCAAGAACGGGAACTTGCGGAGCACGCGGGAGAGGAGGCGATCCTTGAACACTCTGGTGTTTGGTGATGATACCATGCGCTGGTACCCAAAGAACTTGATCCGTCGCATGCGTCGTGGCGGCTCCTCCTGCGGCGTCAACGTCGATGATGAGCTCCACGCGCCGACCGAGAGCAGCGACTCCTCCGAGTCGGGTGTTGAGTTGCCGGAGCGGCGCTCGTCGGAGCGCTTGTGTTCGACATCGTCAAAGTCGGATCCCCTCCACCCCAGGTTGTCGTAGGCGTTGCTATTTCCGGTGTTGCGGTTGAAGTAGGTCCCGCCGAATAGGAGGGTGATTACCACCAAGGGCTCTGCCACGGCACCGATACCCATATTTTCTGTCTCCTGCGCGGGTGTGTGGGTTTGTGGTGGTGGTGGTGAGGTCGAGTGTGGCAGATGGGAAAGAGGTGAAAGCTGATGACGGAAGAAACAGCCGACCTGATGGGGAAGTTGGTGATGACTGAGTGAGGAGTGAGGGAAACTGGAGACTTGGCTGCGTCCAGGTCCGCCGGCGCCGCTTCCTATATGAAGAGCGGGAGGCTCGGGAAGGGGGTGCGTTGGTTCTCCCGAGGCGGTAGCGGATGGGATGGGAATCTGACGGACGATGCCCACCGGGGAGTGGTTCGTTGAGGTCCAATGACAGACACGAGCGATCGGAAGGGGGTGCTTGTCGGTTACGTGAGATTAAGATTGGTCCCGAACTCCAAAGGGGGCGAACGGTGCTAATAAGCTATGCGACGTGGTGCTGCCTTGTATGCCTTATGCGGGTGATGGGGTGGATGAGGCAAGGTTGTAGGTGGATGAGTTGTTGAAGTAAGAGGAACAGAGAGTGGTGAAGGGAGAGCTGGCGATGGGGGAATATTGAATGAGACGGTACATAAGGTATGGTCAGCCAACATGCATCACACAGCAGCAGGCAGGAGGGCAGAAATCAGATAGGTAACGGGAAGCATGGGTGATGAGATGGAGCATGGTCGTAGGTAATAGCGACCATAATAGAACAGAACATTGGACATCGGCACAGTTTTGCGCACAACGGCCCTCAGCCCAGGCTCGGCACAACCCACCAAGCTGGCCCTTGTCGTCTTTTGCCCGACCCGACCGCGTATGGATGGGATGGATTGTACTTTGCAGAGTGCCAAAGAAGGCCAAGAACGCACAACAGTCGCAGACAAGGTTGGCGACCAGGGTTACCTCTGCCATTGCGCTGCGCAGCGAATCCCGCACAAATCCTCCTGAGCGGTCGTTCGCACCTCGCACCTCGCATTTCGCATTGCCTCCACTATGTCTCTGGCTCTCTCTTTTTGCCCATGATCACCTACCTATCCTTACTGAGCCCTGCCCTCCCCTCCTCCCACCTACCCGTCATGGCCTGGGGGGGACTAGACAACACCAGCCACTGTCCACATCAGCGGGCTCCGCAAGGCTTCCGTCCCTGGCCGATTATCTTTGGGGGAGGAAGGAAGGCAAAGGCAGATCGTCTGGAAAGCCGCGCACACTCGCACAAGGGCTGTCGCGTGGGCTGGGCAGAAAAGCTCTGCAAGGTCTGCTCGAGACCCTGTCCTTGACCACGGAATTCCACGCTGCAGCCAATGGGCGAACACGTTGTGGGCTTCTTTTCCCTTCTCATCTGGGGCCGGCGGACTGTGCTCCTGCGACATCCCTGACGTGGACGAATCGCCCGCCAAGTGCCGCGAGCGCCAAGACGAGGGTCACCTCTCTTGCTCACCCGTCTTCCGGTAGCGTAGGTAGGGAAACTTTGAGCGTACTTTGACGGGCACTTGCCGTGGGAATATGTTTGTACCCCGAAAGAACGGCTCCCAGCGGTGGTGGTTGGTGCATGTGCTTTTGTGGTGGCCAACGGTCTGGGATCTGCGGGAGCAAGACAGCAGGAACACCACGCAAACCAAACAAAAGAAGGGACGAAATGT